ATAGTTAACAAAACTGTGTAGTCAGAAAAGCAAAATGAAAATGTAAAAATAAATATATTTTGTATCTTTATCTTTCTTTTTTTTTTTTCTTCATGCGTGAACCTCTCCGGTCTCTAAACCAATTCTAATTTTTATATCATGACAGGTTTGTGTGGCTGTTAAACATGTATTTTCCTTATATGTACATTTTGTTTATATTTATAAAAAGAGCTAGGTTTGTGAATCAACTTCTTTCTGTGACAATGAAAATTATCCAATCTGTTATTTCTATGTTATTTTTTTTTTCAATTGTTAACCTTCGGGAACAATAAATCTCAATATCAAAAAAAGAGAGAAAGAGAGAAGAATAGAAATGAAAAATACCCATCGAAGAGTGATCAGAAAGAGAAAACATATATCATATAAAAGAAGACTGACTACATATAACAGAAGAACAGAAAGGGAAAATAACCATCGAGTGAAGAGAAAATGTATATTGAAAGATAACTGCTGATATGAGATTTAGTTTGTACATAAATAATGACCATCGCTTTACTGTTAGTGATATAGTGATGAGGTCTTCAATAAGTTATTACTAGTTTTACATACGTAAAGCACATAAACTCAAATGCATCGGGATTGCATAATCGAAACGTGAAAATAAATTGAGTTTCAGAGCGACGTTTAAATGTCGTGTTACATTTGTATAACATTGTTGTAACTGTCGGATAGTCGCGGTAGTGATTGTTAGACTGTGATTGTGGTAGTATACACAACAACGTAACCGTTTCATTTTGAAGAAGAGGCAGTCTGATGGCGATGACTTCGACTATCAGATACAGATCACTATTACAATGTATTGTTATCATTCTCTATTTTTTTGTTGATTTTGGCAAAAATCTTTTAAACGTATTAAAAAACGAATCAATAATCTGATTAGTTTATGAGCTTTTGTTTTTTTAAAGAAAAACATAGGCAGAACACTGGATTGACAGAACACTGTGGACAGTTCGACAATGGAAAATCACATGTTCATAAGGATGTGTTTAGCTATCTTGAATCAGAAGGTCTCACAGTAATACCACATCCACCTAACTCTCCTGACTTATCGGCATGCGAGTTTTGGTTAGTCGATTTAATCAAACAAAATCAGACCGATCAGTGTAATTCACAATCATTATATAACGCTGTGGTCAGTTTCATGTATTCTCTGAGCAAAGAAGAATATAAAAAACATTTGCAAAATGGATTAAAAGAATGCAATTGTATATAGATAACCAAGTTGATTATTTCGAACATTTGATGAAATAAATAACTAATAAGCTCATTCTTGTATTGTTTTGTTTTATCACTATCAACTTTTGTCAGTTGTGAAATATATGGATGGTTAGTTCTTACGAGAGATAAGCAGACGATGATGAAAGAAAGAACAAGAGAAAATGAAGAAAAAACGAAAAAAACAACACGTATAGATGATTTTATACACTCTTGCTACCAGATAGAGTTTGACAAAAAAAAGTTTTTGTCGAAATTTTATTACTTTGATCTTATTTGGATATTGATCAAATAACATAGAAAGATAGAGTGAAAGATGTTCTATCGATTGGTAGCAAAAGATTTTTTTCATCGACTTATAAGAAAAAACAGCCCAAATCCCACTACTTTTGGATAATCCTTAGTAGATTTTAATATTTGATGAATAGCTTTCTTATTCGATTAGTTTTTTATGCAAAATAATCGATCATATCTGTGTAATAAAAACTTGAAAAGGAAAAAAAGGGTTAAATTAAGTTGAAATGAAATATGTTCGATAACAATCGTACCTGATAGGTTTATCTCTATTCAAATTTTGATTGATGAATTGATTAAAGATCTTAGATGATATAATAAAAAATAATCTTAGTTACCAGGAAAGAAAAGACATGAATTTTGAATAAAGAAAAATGATTGATATCATTTCATTAAAGTCTATATAAGATTTCTTCTGGAAGAAGGACGTCTTCCAGACAGAAAAAGATGATCGATATTTCTTTATCAACAATACAAATATAGAAAATCAATGGAATGGAGTAGCTGTCTATTTCGAGTTCGAATATAAACGGAAATTTCCGAAAGACACGGGACTATCCTGTAGGTCTGAAAGGATCAGGGCAAGTCTGATCGTTAAGTAAAGTTTCGGACATTCTACGGATGGGAGAGCACCAATCAATATCACCATGACAAAAGTTCGGGTGATGTTAGAGCAGTTATCTTGAAGATGATAGGCGGGTGGGAGTTGTAAAGTTACTTTTAGGAAACAGATGGGGTAGGTGACGCAAAAGGTTCACTGTGATAGGTCGTTCTACATGAAGGACACATTTAGAAGTACGAACACGACTAAGTAACAAATTCCAAAGAAGCCTAGTCCGCATGTAATGGAAAGTGATTGATCATACTTCACATCTCTGCGAACCAAATACTCTATCAAAGTCGATCATCACATAGTTGTCTATAAGTTGCCATATTTCACTTCTTGGAAAAGTATTCGAGTTTAAATATTATAAAACTACACAGATTCTCTTTTAGACCACTTGTACCAATTGTGCTGCTAGCAACGTGGACTTCTCTGCTTGGAAATAGCCCGCTATGCCCATTATAGTATTTTTCTGATTTCCAAAGAAATTGAAATGAGTTTCCTAAATGAAGGAAGATAAAGATATAGAATGTGAAGAAATAGGCGTTAACTTCAGAACAACATAAAGGCAAAGAACAGTGTGCAAGAAATTAAGTGTAAGAAGTATTTATGATCTTAGTAATACATGCGTAATTGCCTATTCCGCTGGTGAATCTATTTGATAACAGTTGCTAACCTTACGAAATATATTCTGAGGTTATTTGAAAAGATAAATCTACATGCATAACAATATCTAAAATATATCCAATATCTATTATACCTATAATATCTCCTACATTTCTTCCAACCCCTCTTGCTCACTCAACCTCTGACACTTCTAAAAATCCTATAGCACCTGCATCCATTTCCAACCCTGCAACTCTTATATTTTCCTATCTTCTATATGTGGTGTATCTCGGACATAACGGTAAAATTTGTTTTTCCAGAAATTCCAAAAAAGATATTCATTTCTGATAGTACAACCCATAAAAAGGTTCTGTAGAATTTCTTTATTTTTCCTCAGAGTGAGAAATCTTTCACTAATTGATTCCTACCACTCGTTATACTGTCTGAAAATTGAGAAAGTTGAAAATCTTTATTGTTCTTGATAAAAACCTCAAAGCTCGAAAAAGTATTTGTGATTATTCGTTTGAATTCTAAATAAATTTTTCGAGGATATTAAACTCCTCAAATACTGGGCGTACTTCAAAAACAAAAAACCAAATTATAAACCATGTTATAATTGTGACCAATACGAAAATCTACCTGTAATTTATTTAGTTTAAAACATTATGCATTGCAGGTGATCATTTTTTTCGACTGCGAATCTGAAAAGAATGGCTGCTCGAACAAATCTTCCATTATGTCTTATTTTTAATATATATATTTATTGTGCTATACATAAATGTTTGTTCAAAATGAAATGTATAAAAGAACTGCTTATAGAATAAGCAAAAGAAGAAAGAACGATGAGAAATGAAGACATGTAGGAAAGAAGAGAAAAGAAGAAGAGAAAGAAAAGAGGAGGTATAGTCATATATCAAGACAAACAATTTTTAAATTACATTAGAGAGGAGATGACAAAAACTATTTAAATATAAAAGTATTTAACATATTTGAGGAGATCTTAAATCTCTCATTGTATGAGTTGGTTTGGCTATATTCATTTTGATGGTGAATAGTATTATACTAGTATTAATATACAGTTCACTTTTTGTTTCATTTTGTTAATAGTTCACATAATAAATAATACAACCGAACTTTGTGATGATATTTTATTTAACCTTGAAAAATCTAAGTGTGAAAATAATTGACATAAGCATCATAAAGAGTAGAAAATCAATCAAAACATATTGCACATTTTTTTCTCGTTTTCACTTTTTATCTTGATTTTTCTTGATTAGATATGAATATCGAACATTAAAAGAAAAGATGGAACAACTAGATTATTTTTAATTACAAAATCACCCATATTTATCGATTTTGATCAATATCATTAAGGTAAATGTTTGACAAGAAAAGAAAATTATTTCTTATTACTTGTCATTGATATACTTTTTCTGTTTATGATTGCAAGCGATATTGTCCAATTTGAATAATAAGTATTTGTAAGTAAATATGATCATTCCTTTATATTTTCATATATATCCTCAGTATTTACAGATTGTCAATTTCATTGATGGCTCTATTTGTATTCAACATAACTATGGTAGCAACAGGTGTTCTTTCACTAATCAATCTCTACTTACCTAATATAACAACATGTAAGTTTTCAAAACTAATATTTAGCAAGAGTATTTCTTCGAATAATCTTATCTCGAACAAAATGTTGTTTTTGTACTCTGTCAATGTCACACACTATCAGTTAGATGATTCGTATTATCTCGTGCGATGAAGAGTTATATTGGTTATATGTTTTGAAGTATATTTTACGTTTCAATTTCTTTTTTAGCAGACATATGTCAAATATCATTTGCACCGATGATTCCGCTAGCTACTGGTCTAGAACCTATGGCTGTAAAGACTGTTGATTTGAACAATGATAGCTTTTTAGATTTGGTTGTTGCTAATCGTGCCGGCAACACGACGAGTGTATTGTTTGGATATGGAAATGGGAGTTTTACACAACGTATAGACCTTTCGACTGGACCTAACGCTGGAACATATGCAATTGCTATTGGCGATGTTAATAAAGATAACCAATCGGATATTGTTGTTGTTAATAGACATGCCAGTAATATTGGAGTATTTCTTGGACATGGTAATGGGACATTTTCGAAACAAAGAACAATTTCTACAGGAATCAACTCTACTCCAGCAGAATTGGCTCTTCATGACTTGAACAATGACACTTTTTTAGATCTTGTAGTTAGTGATCATGAATATGATCGTGTTTTTGTATTTCTCGGAACAGGTGATGGTGGATTTACACGAATACATGATCTTTCAACTGGAAATTCTTCGGGACCATATTTAATAATTATTAATGATTTTAACAACGATAATCTACTTGACATTGCTGTTGGTAATGGTGATGTGAACAACGTAGGTGTCTTTCTCGGTGATGGTACAGGAAACTTTTCACAACAGATTACAACTTATATTGAGTCTGGTCCATATGCACTTGTTGCTATTGATTTTAATAAAGATGGTATATTAGATATAGCGACTGCAAATTATGATTCAAATAATACTAGCATACTCTTTGGAAATGGTGATGGAACTTTTAGACTACAAAATACTTTTTCTACTGGTAATGAATCATTACCGTATGCAGTTGCTAATGGTGATTTTAATCGGGACAATATAGAAGATCTTATCATTGCAAATTCGGGTACAGATAACATCGGTATATTACTTGGAGATGGTAATGGTAGATTTCGAAAACAAAAAATTTATTCGACTGGTAGTGGTTCGAATGCAGTCGAAATCACGATTGGAGATTTCAATAGAGATAATCGATTAGATTTTGTCTCTGCAAATTTAAATAATAATATAATCGGAATTTTTTTAAGTACATGTTCATGAAGCTGACATTCATTTCTATTTCTTAAATAGACTTGTCTCGATGACTATTACTGACACTATGTGACATTTGAATTTATATATACTCTGTCCTATTATTTTTTAAATTACATTGAATAAATAGATTTTTGAAAACAATAATGAACATTTGTATTGTCAAGAAAAAATGATTTTCTGCCATTTCGAAACGAATTTCCACGTGAGATCATTCATTTCTCTTTTGTACTATTTTCGTAACAAATGACAATAAAGAAAAAGGAAGAGAAATATATACGCGTGGAAAGCAAAAACTGAAATCAATATTTCCTTGATTACGGTAATATTTTACGACATTTTTAAAAAACCAAATAGACCATTGGATAGCCCGTCGAATTCTCCATCGAACTGTCTATTGCGTTTTCGAATAGCTTTTATCTTTGAAAAAAAAATTAGTGTCAAACAGGAGTAGGTCTATGATCACATTCCCCACCAAACAATTTTCTCATCGTCTTTTTTTATAGTATTTTGAATGTATCTTGGTGATGATACAATCTTTTTAATAAAATAGATACATCTTCTGAAAGCACATAAAATTCTCTACAAAACAGATTGTTCGATTTATCCAATAAACCGTAAGATCATACTTTAAACTTAATGACAATGAACAGGAGTAAGTTTTACAAGTAGAAAATTGTCGATTTTTTTCTTTTTTCTCTCCCATATCCCAAAAATTATTATTCCGAGATAAAAAAAAAATGCGGAGAACGAGCGAAATAGATTTGTAGAATTTAAAATTCTACATCCAAATGATTATTTATTACACATCAATGGTTTGCTACATATGACTATGATAAGGGTTCAATATGACTTTTTTCCGTTCTGAATTATAGAGATATTACATTCGTCGTTTCGTTCATTCTTTTTTTCTGTATAAATGATTTTTTTTGATTGGCCACGTGGATAGCACATGACCGCTCGCACTACTTTTTGATTTCTAAACGAAATAAATGAGTTATTCGACGTCAAAGAAGAAACTTTCAACTTTTGAACACAATCGTCTCATTCTTGTAAAACTGAAGTAGCTCTACAAGATGCAGGCAGAGGAGAAACGATTGCTTGTTGTTAACAACAAATAAACGCTTCAGTTACACTTAACTTTTTATGCTCTTTCAGCTGGCGTTGTTTGCAGTTTAAAAAAGTGAAACAATCAAAGAAATCGAGAGTATCATGGAACTTTTGCTGCTGGAGATTTTTTGTTCGAGCTGATTTTCGTTTCCTCAACAGATACGTTAAATGTATATATCAAAATGTTGATTAGTAAAAGATCAAACATATACAATAAGCTTGAGCCAACTTAAATACAAAGTTTTATGCAGCGATTTTCGAGTGTCATAGAACGTTTTGCCGCCTCTGCACATTAACTGATGTATTTATCCAGACAATGGTTTCGATCAACGGAAATGGCAAGAGACCGTGGAAGACTGTGAAAAATTTCCGTTTTCGGTAAGTATTCCGGTCCGCAAGTCGTCGAAGATTTCTTTGACCTTACGGCCGTTTCCAGCTGGCAATTACCGTAAGGTCACAGAAAAAGTCGACGTCTTCCGCACTCAGAATTCGGAAAAGTTCCTAAGTAAACTGCATTATACCAACCAGATTCAGTTCAAACAATAAAATTGCAAGTTATCATCAGTTTTTTCAGAGCTCTTCAAACATTGACAATCTCCTTCAGTATCGACATGGTCATAGGGAAAACTATGAATTGTGGAACTAAAGATGTTCTATTAAGCTCACTACGCCATTATCTCGCGCAAAAAGAGCAACTATTTACAATACAAACTACACACTTAAAATTAAGTGCTCTTCAAATGTTAAAATATTGTCAAAATTGGAGAAATTTTTCAAACGACTGATTGTGACCTCGTGCAAACACCTAGAAGAAAAAGAAAAATACGTCTTTGATAATAACAGTACGAACAAAAAAGAGAAACTTGATAAGAAGACGTTGCACGATGTGTGTCATTGCGTATAGGTCTTATCTTGAATATCGTCGTACAATGTTTCTCGTTCTCCTTCTCATTTTATTCGCTTCTCTACAAGTTCATGGTATTCCAGCTTTTGCTTGCGATTTCGAAGATGAAACAATGTGCGAGATGGAGAATGGCGCTTGGTTTGATCCTATGCTTCCTCTTTACAATTTCACCATTGCCACTGGAGAAAATGTACCCGATAAAGAACTGGCACCCGCTACAGATCACACGTACAACTCTAGTTCAGGGCACTTTCTCTACTGGCATCGTCCGTCGAATGCTGTACGAGCATGGACGGACTCTTGAGCACACCAATATTCGAGCTGCGTGAGCACTTATGTTTGGGTTTTGCTTATTATGTCAAGTCGAGTGCGAATAGTAGCAGTGGAACACTTTTAACTGTCCATCTCAAAGGATGTTACACCGCAACATTATGGGCTGTGCGTACGGATGACACTCTAGGGTGGCAGACAGATGAAATACAACTTCAAGATCTCACGTGTAATATTACGATTTGGTTCGATGTCAGTCCGGACATTTGGAATGCTGTTTCTGTCGCACTCGATGATATTGTCGTTGATACCTGCCCACGATATAGGACGACTACTCCTGTGCCTATTGGTCACTCTGCACGACCCGCAACAAACATTTATCTGCCGGCAATTTTGTTTATACACCTATTAGCTACCGTCACTTACAATCGTGTAATCGTTTTCTTTGTAATTCTAAACTTGCCACAGAGCCGTTACCTAATTTTGTTCACTTCAAAAGATTGATGATTGCATTTAAAACAAAAAAGCTACACATAATTATGTACAACGATAAGTAGAATAAAGTACGTAGTAATGCGAAAAAATTATTACTTCGAATTCTGATTCCCCACCTTGGATTACCTTTGATGATTTCATAAATCAAACAAACTATGAACTTTTATAAGACACAGTGGTCTTATATCTTGGTGAATTCTGATTGATCGAGAGTGTGCTACATTCTGATTGGCTTGGACATCCGAACGCATTTGGATTAATTTCTCCGTCTCTGACACGTCGTGCAACGTCTTCTTATCAAGTTTCTCTTTTTTGTTCGTGCTGTTATTATTAAAGACGTATTTGTCTTTGTCTTCTAGGCGTTTGCACGAGGTCACAATCAGTCGTTTGAAAAATGTCTCCAATTGTGACAATATTTTAACATTTGAAGAGCATTTAATTTTAAGTGTGTTATAAATTGTATGTATTCTGAACTTTAGACGGGAACCAACTGTGTACTGTATAAAAATATTTCAGTACTTAGCGTTTTCCCCAAAAATATGTCTCCGTACCCGCATGGCTTCTCGTTCGATCGCCTTTAACTAAATTCTAAATTTCGATTTGGGCAATCGACAGAGTTGCTGATTGAATAAGCTGTTTAAGGTGCCAAAAATCCAAAAGTACAGGAGAAAGTGGTTTTTAATCTTTCAAAAATTGTTTTGAGGATGAAAAATTGAAAAAACTCGAAGGATCTACAGTGTCGGAAAACCCTTTTAATTTCACAAAACACATATTTTTTTCTTTCCGGTGCTTCCAACTTTTCCAAAGCATCTTTCTCAGATTCAGCATTAAAAACTTAGTATGAGAATGATGCTTGATTGAAGTTGAGGTCAAAGGCCTATCCAGTATGGGCGTCTTGAGCTTCCCTCCCATGAAAAGTTCATAAATAGTTTTGCAAACCTATCTAGTTTTTTGGGTGGAGAGATGAAGCCGATTTTTCTACTTCATTAGAACGGCCATTAAACGAGCTTTAAAAATATAAATCACTTTTTTTTTCATTTTGCTTTGTCATTGAGAAAATTCATGTTTTTCAACACAGGAGCGTAAAAATTGGAGTTCTGACTGTAATTCTCAATTTTCTTCATGAGAACTCCAGTTTTATGCAATAAAGATAGCATATTCGGCATCAGCGTCGCAAGCCTAATTGAATGATATATATTTCGAAGCTTTCTGTTGATTTTCATTTTTCTGGTAAAAATCTCAACAATTTTTCTGCATGACAATTCAAAAAAACTCAGAGTAGTCGGATAGACCAAAAAGGTATACCATTCACTTCAGTTTGGAATGCTGATGCCGAATACGCTATTTTTCTTGCATAAAACTTGAGTTCTGATGAAGAAAATTGAGAATTCCAGACAGTACTCCGATTTTTGTGCTTCTGACTTGGAAAACATGAATTTTCCCAATGACAAAAATTCTGTATCACTGCATCTCACAAAACAAAACAAAAACATCTAACACGCAAATATGAAAATATTACAGTGCATGCAAGATTTCAGACTTAAACACCGTTGAACTATTCAAGTAAATATAAACTCATAAACTCATCTATTAGATCTCTTTCAATCATCATAATTTTCACTTCATAAACTCAAAAGGTAGAAGAGAGTGTCTTCTATCACTCATAGATTCTCAAATTCATCCAGCTATCATTTTTATTTATATTTTGAATAATTTAAATTGTTGATTTTGTGTTAATATGAGAATGTATCGATGTCCAAATAATTGTATGGCAGATGGATCAATATTTTATTACTTACATGAATTTTTACTAAATCATAACTCTCTTTTATTTTTTGAGTTTATGAAGTGATAATTATGATGATTGAAAAAGATCTAATAGATGAGTTTATTTTTACTTGGATAGTTCGATGGTGCTTTAAGTCTGAAAATGCGCTTTAACATTTCCATATATAGAGATTTGTGTGTCAGATGTTTTGTTTTGTTCTTTCTTCTCGATTCATGTGGGAAATTTTGCTCAAACCTATTCCAGATATCTACATTTTTGTTTTTGTAGATATCTCACTTCCAAGAATAAGTAATTTTATTTTGTTTGGTCTTAGGATTTATGGTGATATGTTTTATTTTTATACGCTGTACTTTATGGTTGTTCAAACAGAATGTAAACTGAAGATTTTAAAGGTTATTTAAAGGTTATTTTTGTTTTACTACAGTATACAAACTTTTATTCTTGTAAGCAGTAGTTTGTACATTCAACGTTTTCCTCATTTTTTGTTTTGTTTTGTGACATGCAGTGATATAGAATTTTTTTCTTTTTCACATTGAATTTAGATAGAACATCCACGCTGTTAAAACTGTTTTCTTGAAGTATTCTTGTTTCGTCGACAACTCACTCTCACACCGCTCCTCCCGCCTCTGATGTTCTCTGTTCTATATTCTTTGAAGTGGCCGCTTTACGTGGTATTTACTCCATTATTCTTTATCTTCGAGAGCCATATCATTTACGCTAATGAAGAAAAACGTACGTCTGTTTATTTTGTCATAAGATATAAATTATATATGTACTAAAGATCTTTTAAATTATTAACCTTTTCTCTTAAAACTTTCGACTAATGATCGAAAAAGTGATCAGTCAGTGAAATAAGTCCTAACCACAGTTGTCAGATGGTCCGCATTTTGGAGTTTTTTCCGCAATTTGTCGTTTGTCCGCATGTTAAGCATTTGCTGCTTTTGTTGTTTTTCCCCTCAGTTAAAAAACTCGTTTAAAGTCATCATTATCATGCACTGAAATTTATAATTATTCCTTATCAACGCCAGAACTGCTTAAACTTATTCATTCTAATCAAAAATATACAGTCAAAAAACAACGTGTCTATTCAATTGAAGGAAAATCATTACTCGCTCCAGAATAATACTCTATGAGATAGTCTTTGAATTTGAATTCCTTTTTCCTGTATGATATGCGGATATACAGGTGTATGCATATTTCAAATATTCTTCGATATATCTTGTGTTAAATAAGATATGTTTTATATAAAAGATATCGTTATGAATGTGTATGCTGTGCATATACATTTTCACTAACATGAAAGAAGAGGCCACGTGGAAGTATTATATAGAATAACTGACACAATTTTTCTAAAAGAGTTCAGAGCTACAAGTCAGAGGTTTCGCAAGCCACAAGTCAAGCCGAGTCTGGTTAAAACATACGAATAACATAAAATCTGTCAGGGCCTTTTGGGCGAGAGACAGTTTTTATAGTTTCAGAAACTCTGTTCCATCGTAAAAAGTGCCTAATCTAAACGAAAATGTATTACCAGAAATGACTTGACTTGTTCTCAAGTCCAGTCACGGTCGCGAAAAGAAATCTCTCAAGTCAACTCGCGCCCCAAAAATAGTTTCACCAAGTCAGACTTGACTTGTCCAGTTCTCAAAGAGTTGCACCGGAATATCTTGGTTCTGTTTGAATTATACAAAAATTGACTCCGCATTGACGAAGTTATATACCACGTAGTCCGGCTAACTTTGCTACCAGAGTGGAATTCGATTTTGTTCAGAGAAGGCTGTATCCAACAGTAATTATCAATGAGCAATAAAGATCTATTACAAAATTTACTAATCCAAGCCTCTGTCACCTAAAGCTGCATTAGAGTGACGATTTTTGATTCTTGTAGAAGGTTCAATCAACGATTCAAGCTAGTATATGATAAACCTATTACTCTATCAACGTTGAGATTCATTTTCACAACATTTACATATTATACCATCAAAATCGAATTCATTAAGTAAATCTCTAGCAGATGTATTTACAACATTTCCAAGACGATCGTCAGTCGCTACATCTGCATTAAATTTATTCTAGTCAGATTTGTTCTCGCTCATCGTGGACAGCGTTCTTCAGATTTGAGAAAACAATGATAAACTTATTTTGGTTCTCGAATTCAAATCAGAATACTTTACGCATCATCTCATTTTGGGATATGCTATGGAGACGTTGTTTTTCACAGATTTGTCGATAATGTAAAAGAGCATTAGAACAGATCTGTTAAATAAAAACTTTTTCGTGTTCACATAAACTCATGTTAAGTTTTATTCTCGTGTAACATGTGCATATCCTATATTAGAGAGGGAAAGATCTGACAAGATCGATATATTATTTCTCTATCGTATAATATAATTCATATTTTCATTTCACTGACTGTAAGTCTATGGTCATACAAAATAAATTGTTTGTGTGTTTCTGTGTGTGTTTAGTCCATACCCAGTTGTGACGGATGTAAGTACACACGGTGACGGACATACATTCGCACAGTTACTAGGGAGTGTGGCATACACGTCGACCATAACATGTTGTAGATAATCCTCTAGCGAACGCTGACGAGAGTTGTCAACGTGATCTTTTATTCAAAGTCACCGAAGTTCATTCGAAGATTAAGTTTTTAAAATCAAGGGATCGAGTGAGTGCGGACGGGCACGACCTTGTATGCAGGTAGTGATCAACACTGCATTGTGAAAAACTGTCACGTTGTAAACAAGCGTTGTAGTAACAAGATTGAGTACTAAAATGACTCTCGACACTATCTATATTCATTCGACTTACAGTCAATGGACTGCGTGAATCCATGTGATTCACGTTATTTATATGAAATAAATGATTATTTTTTCTACAGTCTACTTTGATGTATAATTTATTATTTAGTTTCTTTTTAATTTTAATATGTTCAATTCTAATATAGTCGAACAAGAAAGACTATATGATAAATATCTAACATACTAGTCTAAATTTACAGAGAAAAATCAATAAAAATCTAGTGTGTTATTCTATCTTCTTGTATATGGCGATGTAAGGTACTCAAATTTCTCTCATAATTTTTCATCCATGGGTGATCTTTTCGAAGAAATAACTTTCCTTAGACTAATCGGTTATTACGTTGATTGTTATTGTATATAGCTAATACTCGATTTTAAGAAGAAATAGTTGATATGTCAATATTATTCAAGTTATCTGAATGTTATAGCTATACTTATTGCTCGAGTATAATAGGATTTTGCTTTATCGTAGTTTTTCTTAATATAATGAGCACCTGCAATGTTATTATAAACTGCTGATCTGTCTAGTGAGTGTGGATTATCAGAAACAAGAGCGCGTGCATAGTTCTTTAATGCTTCATCAAGTTCATTGTTTATATGATAACTAAGGCCAATATTATTGTAAATTTTAACCATTAAATGTTTATTTGCCGATAAACCAGTAAGAATGATGTTTGTTAATTTATGGAAATATTCTTGGGCAAATGTATAATTGTTCAGAGCACTATATGTTGCTTGTTTATTCATACATATTGTGGCTTGACAATGATTAAATAATTCTTGTTTTGAATTAATAATTTCTTCTGCCTTTTGAAAATACATAATAGCATTATCAAACTCTCCTATTTCATATGAGAGAATTCCGAGACAATTATTCATTTGTATTTTTTGATTGTCAGTTACTGATAAATTATCATACATAATTTTATGATAATTTTGTGCTTGATTATACTTGCCAACAGCAACTAACACATTAGCCAAATTTAATAGTGTACATTCTTCATCTATATATTGTTTTCGAAGTGTGTCTACTAGTTCCATTGATGGTTGAGCTTTCTCATTGGTTAACTTCAATTTTACCCACCAAGTGGCTGTGTCATTATTCCAGTCAATATTTTCAATATACCATATAGTTCCTATAGTACATAATATTTCTTCTTCATCTGTAAATTTACTGTATTTGGATATATCAACGCATGCTTTAGATTGATTATGACCTATGTCTAATTCGAAAACGACACTTTCATAACCTTCTCGTGACGTCTCTGCTCGAGCATAACAAAGAGCAACATCAAGACTACTTGTGGCTGATAAAAATCCGTTTATTGATATTATATGTTGAATATTATTTCTTAATCGTTCTAATTCTTCGCGCATCAGTTTTCTTCCTCTATATATTTTTATATCATGCATATGTTCTTGTTTAGAGTAGAGAGATGAAAGCTGCTTATATAAATCGGTAATAAATAATCGAAAAATATAAATTTGATCAATTTCTTCTGATCGAAACGCTCTATTAGTTAAACGAAATAAAAATGAATTCTGAGTATACCATTGAACGGCATCGTGCTTCGTGTAAATATCTTCGAATTGGTTGATTTTTTCTTGTTCCGTCTTATTATCTCGACACATTGATCGACACTCCTTAATTAGATCTTGTTTTGCTTCGTCATTATGAACCATTCGTATCAAAATTTCGATTAAAAGCTGGAACCAGACAAACTCAATTGATTCATGACTCAAATCTTTGATTGACTGCTGCCGTGTGTAAGAATTAAATACGCTGAACGGTGGAAGTGCCTCTTCGAGAGTTCTTTGAGTCTCGATAAATAAAGGATTTTTATTGGTAACTATGTTGCTTTTTATGTGTAAAATTATGTCTTCTATCAACTTGGAAAAGAGAACATCCAATTGATGAACTAACTTACACTTGTTAGTAACTGACTGTATCCAAGTGTTATAGTCGAAATTGAGTTTCGTCTGTATGACATAAATCATTTGTATCATCGATTTATTATATATAGTTTCTACAACGCATAAGTCTAATGAATGTGAAATAATACAATAAACTTTATCGTTACAACAACCACTTAGATAACTGATAAGATCACAAGCATCATCAAATATTTTTAAATGATGAAACGTCTTTTTTAAAATATCATTTAACTTTAAATAATTTTGTTGTTCATTATCAATATCATTAAACCATACACATTTGACATCATAGTTTGTAGCAATACCAGGTTCTACTTCTGAAATGTTGTACCTTAATAGAGATTGAAAAAAGTTGAGTATTCCACTGATTCCTAGCAAGCGAAAAATCATACCTTCCAGTAATTATTGGTAGGATGTGACTATCTTCTGGCATTATATTATTTCAAAACTGTTCAATGATTAAAATATTATCTAGAAAAAAAAAAACTTGCTGCTTTTGAACTTCTTTATCACAACGACGAAACTTATACTCATTCAAAAAATTTTATTTTTTCCATTGTTATTTCCACTGAACCTATGCATCAAGAAATAATCTAGTATCGCCCGATTCGTCTAAATTACTAGATTTTTACTGCTTTGCAATTATTTGTCAACGACAGTG